CTTCATCGCAACACGTCCAGGTGCCGAAGCGGCTTCCCAGCTCACCACCTCGCCATCTCTGTCGCTCTCCTGGCCCAGGCCCATCAGTACCAAGCCTAATCTGTCCCAGACCGCACTTATCTTGGGTGATGAAGCTCACTCTGGCTCATACCACGGCTCTTACGGCCTCACACTCGCCTATTTCACCCACAGACACCGCCGGCACGCACTCCCACTTCACACACGCTCAAGCACAACCCCATCAAAGCACAGCCCTGCTCATAATTGACAAGGGCTACCACTTGGTGGCCCTGGTAGCCTCTGGATCGTCACTGCACTCGGCTCCTCTGCAGCGGTCTCGGCTCTCGCCACGACAGCACGCCGACGGCAAGCTTTGAGATCCGTCTGGTGGACCTGCTGTGGCCAAAGCCGCCCCTCACATGCAGCTCGCACCAGACCTCGACACTGGGCCCGCTCAGCTTGGTTGTGGCGGCGTGTGTGAAGGATGCGCGGCCGAGCCGCTGGCGCTGCTACAGCGGCGCGAGAAGCAGGCAGCGGCGCGACACCCGGTCGGTCGAGTCTGGCCGTTCTCTCGACGCCGGCCGGCGAGGGTGGCGGCCTGTGGCCGGCTGGTGGGCGGAGAGCAGCCAGGAGGACTCCAGAGTAGCCAGCAACATGAAGCAACGGGAGAGCGCACAGCGAGCGCAAACACAGCTCTGAGAAAGGGCGGGGAGTGGGCCTTTAATGCATAATGGAGGCAACCGATGCGAGTCGACTGGTGTGTGTCGTCGTGGTTTCGTATCAAGAATACTCACTCACACCCTGGGTGTGAGTTACCAACTGCACTCCAAGTGCTCCAAGATATCCTTTTGTCGCGTTAGCGAGGACCCCCGCGTTTTCCTTGGAAAATGGAGCTCGGCTAGGGTAGTAGGGTTGCGCAACGAACAGGAGCGAGTTCGCGCTGCGCTAGGCTCAGACGGCGAGTTCGCGCTGCGCTAGGCTCAGTAAGGCGAGAGTTTTCTTCCTTTTTCGTAGAGTACTGTTATGGAGGTCTCATACTTACACGTCTCATGTGCGCCTCGGCCCCACGGCCCACGGCGAGAAAGTGAAACCCCTACTATCCTCCGTTCACGGCGCGGGTCAGCAAGACGAGGAGGAGCGCGGCCTCCACCGCCCAACCCTCCACAAACAGGGCGCCCGTCAGCGGCGACTGGACCGAGTTGGCCGTGAGGTAGACGTAGCCGAGAGCAGACCCGACGCCGAGGAGGGCGACAGTCTTCTGCGCCTCGCGGCTCACCCGCATCGGGCAGTGGAGGACGTCGAACAGCGTCGCGCTCGACGGGTCCCGCAGCAGCGCCTGCACGCGCTGCTGTATGAGCGGCGAGGGCTCCACAGGCGCGCGCCGCGCACCAGACTGTGCCTGCGGCTGCGCCGCCACCGGCGAGACGGGCTCGGCCGACCAGGTGCCGACGGAGGTGTAGTGGTGGCCAAAGCCAAAGGCCAGCTCCCCGACTGGGCCAACCCGCTTGACGAGCAGCGCCCCGGGCCGTATCCGCACCGCTGCGGGCTCTGCTCCCGGCCAGCTCCCTCCCTGTCCGCCTTCCGCCGCTTCTATCGATCCCTCAAAGAAGAGGCAGCCCGCGGGCAGGTGCACGTCGGGCGACTCGGCCTGTGGCCACGCAGGGCCGGCGCCGCCGCGCGTCACGCCGTCCGGAAACTCGAGCCAGAATTGGAGACTGCTCCCCTCCCGCCGCCAGCCGCCAGCGCTCACCGGGAAGTTCGCCTCGCCATCGAAGCCTCGAACGCACACGTCGCTAGAGCAGGGAAGCAGTGAGCAGGAGGAGCCCACTCGCCGGCAGTGAGCAGGCGAGGCCTCCGACGAGACGGCGACGTCGAGCCTGAGCGGCAGGCGCTTTCCCGACCGTCCCCACTCCTCGGGCATGGAAGTTCTAATCTCACGGCCGATCGAGAGGCGGAGCGTCCACAGAGGAGGCGCCACCGCCGCTGGTGACAGTAGGTGTGCGGCAGCAGTGGCAGCAGTGCAGAGCAGCGACGGAGGGAAAAGCATCGGGTGGTAACTGGGTTGGCACGAGCTTGGCACCGGCGCACCTTAGTTTTCTTTTTTGAGAGAACCCAGAGTCGGAAGCGAAAACGCCCTTTCCCTGCCTGCCCCCTCCCGCCACGCGTTACGACTTTCTCTGCGTTCATTAGGAAAGTGGAGAATTATTCAGATGGGCTAGCCCACCATCCCGGTATGTATGTATGTAGAAAGATGACCCCCCCGGATGAACACACCAGTGAGGGAGGGCGAGACGATCGAGGGGTCCCGTACCACGCGGAATCGGCCCTATCCAGTGCTCAAGTGCTCAAGATGAACAACAGGCGGGCTCAGACTGGACACCAACCGGTGGTTCGAATCCACACACAAAGATGGGAATCATCAAGACGAATACCTCGGTCCGAGGTGGAATGGGCGGAATGGAGGGACGGACGGACACTAAGAGCACCCAGTCGCGACAAAGAGTTGGCTTGCCGAGGTTCATCCAGGTGTGCCCGTGGCGTGCTTCTTGCGAGCAATGTCCCTCCGGGAGCCGAGGGCTCGCCGATCGCGTGCCGTCTACTCGGCGGCGTTCAAGCTCCGCGTCGTTCGCGAAGCGCTCGCATGCCCAGAGTCGTGCCGCATCAAGCCAACTTGCCGCAACCACCCTGGCGTCGAGCCGGTGCGGGTGCACCTTCTTTCACTGGACTGCGACCGTGGCCACCGAGCCGTGTGGTGCAGCCCCGCCCTTCCCACTCCCCTCCTTGGCCCCCGCAGACGCAGTTGCGTAAGTGGATCAAGAAGCGTACAACGATCGAGAGCCTGGTGCACCTCGAGGACAGGCAAGCGGCAGCATGCCGGATGTGAGTAGCAACCCCGCATCATCCACGTACCCATGTACGACCCAACCCAAATGCGTTGTCGAGCAGAGTTGAGGGCTACGCCTTCAAAGTTCGTTCCGGCCCGGAGTCGCAACATGAACAGCAATGGGGCGGTAGTGAGGTGCGCCTGCAAGGTGCTGCCAGCTCACGAGCAAGGGGGGCGTCGATTTTGACTCCCCTTCTCCGTATGCGTAGGCGCAGACGCTTCGACGGCTGTGGGAGCCGCAGCCACCAGCGCCATACCTGCACTCCACCCCGCACCGGCACTCACGCTGCGCGGGGCCCCTCGGTATGGGTGATCAGGTCACCCACCCTCCGTCCGTTTTCGGTGTGGCTGCTGCCATGCCGCCCTACTATTGCTGCCAGTGAGCGCCGTCGTGCTGCCCATGCCGTCTATCGAGGCGGTCGTCGCCGAGATACGCCTGGCGTCGGGCCTGTTTTCGGAGCGACGAGCGCGCGCACGAGCTGGCCTCCTGCTATACGCGGCAATCAAGTCCCAACAGCACGATGCACAGCTGTTGCTTCATCTTGGTCAGACCACGCAGTGCTGATCCACACCTTCCGTCTTTGACACAGAGGAGGCGCCGCCGCCGCTGGCGACGGACGGTGTGCGGCAGCGGCGGCCGCAGTGCAGGAGCAGCGACGGAGGGAGGAGCATCGGCCGGCCGTCTAGGTTGGCACGAGCTTGGCACTCGCGAGTCGATTTCTTGTTTGTGAGATGAACAAGCCACCGATGTGAAAGCAACTTCAATTATTTTAAATAAAACGGACGTGGTCCTGCTAGTTCTTTTTGTGCGAGCGACCGCAAGATTCTTTTTGCCTGGCACTGCATTGGCACCGTCTGTCCCAAGATCAGAATGTGGGCCCGCGTCCTGTCTCTCCTTCTCTCCGCCTGCCTTCTCGGCGTGTGCGACAGCTTCCTGGTAGGTTCCGCGCGTGCTGTTTGTACCTCGCGCGTGCCGCCAGTCTCCGCCCAATTCTTCACCGGGAACTTTGACAGACAGGCCGAGAGGGAGCGGCAGGCAAAGCTCTCGCGGTCCGCCACAGACGCCAAGCCCAACGTTCTGGGTCTCGGCGTGATTGCCACCGGCGCGGTGGGGCTGCCCGTCACCTTCCTCATCGCCCTTTACCTCAGCGGTGCTCACCCGCAATTCTAGCTAAGTCTTTCTGGGCACGGCTGTGAGCGCGGCTGCACCCCTCGACATGTCCCGGCAAGCTCACTCCGTTCAAGTTTGCGGACGGCATCTCACCGCTCGCGGTGCAGGAGCGGAAAGAGGGCGCGGCCAAAGTGGCCAAGCTGGAGGCGGAGAAGAAGGTCGTCGCTCGCCGACGCATGACACACTGCCACAGCAGGCGTCGCTCACCCTCGTCGCCTCCCGCGGCTGCAGGCTGCGGCGGCGAAGAAGAAGGCGGCCGAGGAGGCCAAGGCGGCCGAGGAGGCCAAGGCGAAGGCGGAGGCGGAGACAGCTGCCAAGGCGGCCGACGCGAAGAAGACGGCCGCCGGGGAGCCCAAGGCGAAGGCGTCCGAGGCGCCAAAGAAGAAGGCGGCCGCGCCGCCGCCGCCGCAAAAGCCTGCGGCCGCAGCCAAGGCCGCACCCGCGGCGGCGAAGGCAGCGCCCGCCTTCCCGCCAAGCAAGGACGCTGAGGCTCTCCAGAAGATGCGGGCCGCCAACAAGAAGGCGGCCGACAAGAGGACCGCAGACGCAGTCGCCAAGTCCAAGAAGGAGAAGGAGGCGCAGAAGGCTGCGGCGGAGCAGCAGCAGGCGGCCCTCCGCCAGAAGCAGGCGGACGCGAACGAGGCGCTCAAGGCGAAGGTTGAGGCGAAGCGCAAGGCCGAGAATTCGGTGGCGGACCAGGGCAGGGTGACGGCGGCGGCCAAGCGCAAGGCCACCGCCGACCAGGCCGCCTCTGCCGCCGCCGCCGCCGCCGAGCGCGTCGCGGCCGCTGCGGCAGCGACGGCCGCGGCGCCTTAGCCACCGGGGGGGGGGGGGGGGGGGCACACATCGCAGTTCTTTGCATTCGGCGGCGGGCCGGGCGGCGGCTCGGCTCGCATAGAGAGGCATGGTACGGCTCTCGTCGAGAGCTCCTTGCCTCGCATCCCAGTGTCCAGACTCGTTTGTGACCGCGGTCTAAAAAGGAAATAAAACCAAATGCAGACCCCGTTGTGAATTCGGTTGTGGCGAGGCGTTGAAACTGAGTTTCCGCCTACGTAGGGGGGGGTGTTACGTACGCGCGGGCGGATAGCTTGAGAGAGAGCTTTTTGTTTTTGAAAACCTTCTCTCTAGGTTGATTGCACTTGGGATGCTCTTGAGTTTGTTATTGAGTTTGTTGTGGTATTGGTATGTATGTATGTAGAAAGATGAACAACAGTCAGGCTCGGACTGGACACCAACGCGGTATGGGTGGACGCGGGACAGATGATGACGACACGCACGAACGACACACAGACACAAACAAGCTCACAAGACACACAGCCAGCTGGCTGCCACACACCCTGAGTTGGCGTACACATAACTCAGGGCCACATTCTTCCTGTCGCCCCCCCCAGCACTCCAAGGTGCCAAGAGAAACAAACAAGGGCACAACAAACAACAGACGACAGGAAGTAACGTGCGAGGCTAGAGCAGGCTTGCTCGTCCTCTAGCAATCTCCGCCGACCGCGAGGCCGGACTAGACCGTGTGTGGGGTCATGTGAGGTGTCTCTGGTCACTCTCCTCAGAGGCTAGCCGCCAGCCGCTAGCCCTATCTCGCACTCACTGCCGGTGACAATTCTATGGGTGAGGGTACGCGAGCAGAGGTGCGTGAGCCGATTCTCGATCGCACGCCCTTGGCATATAACTTGGCTTGGCGTGCGACCTCAGCGCGCCCGCCGTCAGCTTGACGGGGCGCGCATGTCAGCGAGACGTTTGCCGGTAGAGCGATCCCGGTCTTGTCGAACGCGAGCCCCGCGCCACGGTTGCCAGCCGTGCCTTCGCGAGAGTCGCCCTCGAGCCGCGTCCCGTCGGCACTATTGGTATTCCTCCAGTCTTCTATCGAATGAAAAACAAATCCGTCATCACATTGTGGGATCTCTCGAGTGCCCCTCGTTGATGAAGCATACCGCAACGACACCTGTTTGCCGCCTTCTCGTCTGTGTACATATGCTCCCTCTACTTGTCGTTGCCGCCTCGCTGCTTCCCGTTACCCGCACGCCGCTGCCCAACAAGCCTCCGACCAGCGAACACGCGCACAACAAGCAGCTCGGGCTTCTCGACTCACTCTCGACTGCGCTCGACAAGCACGCGCTCGACCCTCTCGACCCGTCGCCATCGCGAGTGCCGGGGCTGGACTACTTCAAGCGCCTGGCGCGGGAGGACTACGCCTCCGCCGAAGTCATTTGGGCTGGACTCTACTGCTCGCTTCTCGTCTCGTTTGCAATGCAACTCACGCGAGCTGTCGTGCTCGCACAAGTGCTGCCGCCGCGCCTGCTGCTCGACGAAGCTGTGTGCTCGCTGTGCCTGATGCTTCCTCCCGAGGTGAGCTCGACCATCCCGCTGTTGCTTAGCTCCTTGTAGAGGTGGGAGACGGAGGACGTATCCGAGACTGCGTGTCTCGAGATACGTTACGCGTGTGTGCGTGAGTGAGAGAGCCGCCGGTTGTGTCTCATGTGTGTCCGAGCATGTTATTGTACAAGCGTTCGTTCTGCGACTGTGTGTAGAGATCTCGATACTCTGGGCGACCCTGACAAGATACTGAGCAGAGTACCGCCACACGCGACAACGGATACTTCGAGCTCGACCCAGATACTAAAAAGAGACGAGACACACCACTCTGTCAGCACTGACCAGACTCAGTCTCTGTACTCTGAGTTCTCAGACACGCTGAGCTGTCGTATACGGTATAGTGGCAGAGACAGGGGCTCTCGGCTCTCGCGCTCACGGTACATGCATGCACACAACAGAGCGAAACTGCCTGAAGCATCACCGCCTCGCGTACCGCGCGAGCGGCGCGTACAGCGCGCACGCGGCGAGGCCCGTCTCAACGACCGTGTCGTCGACGAGCTTCCACGCCGCGTCGTCGAGGTGGTTCTTCCAGTCGCCGACCTCGCCCTTGCGCTGCGTCACGTGGCCCGCCATGCTCCGAAACGAGACCGCCTCGGCGAGCGCGGCGCGCTTCGCGGGCGTGAGCGGCCGGCCGAGGAAGGCGGCGATCCGGTCGAGCTGCGCCTGTATGGAAGGTTCGCGGAAGGCTCGTGGACGGCACCTGGAGAGGCGGGCGATGCGGTCGTGCCGCGCCTCGAGGTCGAGCTTGAGGTCCTATTCCGCAGGGGGAGGCGGTCAGCTAAAACACAAGCCGCGCCCGGCGCCCGGCTGCTGCTCCTCGCACCTCGTAGTAGACGACCAGGACGCGGCCCGACGCGGCGAGCGGTGCGATGGCGCGCTCGGTCGCGAGCATCCACTCAAAAACGCTGCCGTACGCGTTCGGGCATTGCGGCGAGCAGAAGCGCGGGAGCGACCCCGGGCCTGCAGTATGAAGACAGCGAGCGACCCCGGTATCGTGCAGTGCATTCAGAGCACCACGCGAGGACAAAGCCGCGAAGGCAGTGGGCACGAATGCAGAGAGCTGAACACGGCTGAATACGCGTCCTCTCGCGGGTTGGAACACTAGGACCTGTATTCCACATCTAGGACCCTGGAGGCCGTGCTCGTTGCCCCGCCAGCCGTCCTTGGCCTCGCCGCGGAAGAAGTGGAGCGAGGTGAGGACATCCTTTGGGTTGCGCAGGCACACGATCAGCCTGCCCGTGCCGGCAGGCTCCATCAGCCGCGCGGGCAGGAGGTCGCCAAACAGGTGGGTCGTGAAGAGCCGCGGCGCCTATGGGGACGTTGAGTGGGCCTTCCACCAGGCTCCCAGAAGGCGGTCGTAGCGCGTCGAACCCGGTGCCGGCATGCCCACGAGAAGAGGGTAACTGACCAGGCCGGCGATTGGCACCGGCTCGGCCGGAGGCTCCATCGGGCAGGCCTCTGGGTAGATCTGCATCTTGAGGAGCGATTCGACGACCGGGCTGGACACTGGGATCGGCCTGCCCTCGTCGTCCAAGCCGTGCAGCAGCAGAGTCAGGATCTTGTGCAGCCACGACGTGCCCGCCTTGACGGGCGAGCTGCACACGACATCGTCCGGCCGCATGTCGAGGGCTTTGAACGCCTCCGCCGAGTCTTCGCGGAAGAAGAATGGGACCGGCAGACCCTTCCAGCTCCTGCCGCACGGCATCGGACCCGTCTTCTTGGCCGCCAGCATCTCTAGCGTGGTGCCGGTGATGCCAGCGTCGCCGAGCGAGCTCGCCATGGTGCTCGTTGCGCGGCCAGCTGTCGACACGCGAAGAGCTTGGCTGGAAGGGCACACAGCAGCGCGGTGATGATAGCCCAGCAGCGCGGTGAAGGCGAGCAGCGATATGGTAACGAGCAAGTCTCGGCTTGGTCTTCACGCCGGACGGGGGGGTGATATTGGATGGGCACCCCGTGCCGCGCGAGAGAGGGGGCAGTTCAAGATCTACCCTTCGGCTGCCGACGCAAAGGGCACCGAGATCTACTACTCTCTGGAGGAGAGCGAGTTTTGCATGCGCTTTTGCTGCAAAAACAATAGGGCTTTCACTCAGACAGTGTGGACGGGCACCAAGGAGTCTCACAGCGGCACGGTCATGACCATGTCAAAGGAATTCTCGCTCAGCTCTGGGGCAGCTTGCGTCTCTGTGGCACACACTGCAATGCGCAAGCTCCCTGCCATCAGCTGTTGTGTCCGGTTCATGTTCACGTCGCCGCGAAACGCGTGCCTTTTATTCTGATTCGGTCCACGTCGTGGCGCGAATAAATAAATAGAGCATGCATCTCCAGGAGAGATGGGCGACGCACGAACACACACAGAGGCACAGCGGACAGCGCGCACCCCGCCCGCCCCGCTCGCAGGGAGGGCGTGCACCACACACACACAGGGACTGTGTGATTCCTCGGGGTTTCTGCGCGAGACCGATGCTGGCGAGACCGATGTTTTGCGAGCTCAGATGAGATTGATGAAAAATTGCTTTCACATTCTCCCAGCCAGTCGTCGTCGGGTCTAGTCCCCGTGTTCTCATCCCTTTTTCTTCTTCTCGGCGAAGGTTCCGAGAGCGTGGAGCGACGCACTGCGCACGGCCAGCCGCGCGCACATGGCGCCGGAGAAGCGCTCCACGCTATTCTCCTTCGCGGCCGGTGGCGCGGCCGGCGCGCTGGACACGTGCATTACTATGCCGCTCGACACAGTCAAGACGCAGATGCAGATCAACCGGCACGCCTCGGTCGTGTCCTGTGTCCGGACGATCCTGCGGCACGACGGCGCGGCGGGCCTGTACTATGGGTTCGGTCCCTTCCTGCTGCAGGCGTCGGGCAAGGCTGCGGTGCGCTTCTGCATGTTCGACGTCCTCGTCAAGGCCGTCGACGCCGCGGGAATAGACCGCACGCAGCGGCCGGCAGTGTGGTCGGGCGTCTGCGGGCTCGGCGCCGGGCTGGCGGAGGCTCTTCTATGGACGGCGCCGACCGAGCGGGTCAAGGTGCTCAAGCAGGCGCGGGCGGGGCGGGGCGCCACCGACGTTGCACCCTCGGCCCTCTCGCTGCTGCGCGAGCAGGGCGTGGCGGGCCTATATGTGGGAGCGGGCGCGACGGCGGCGCGCCAGGCCACCTCGGTGGCGATGCGCTTCTTCTTCCTGGACAGCGTCAAGGGGAGCCTGTGCGGCGGGCTGGGGTACGAGAAGCGCTCCGCCCCCTCCTGGGTCACATTCATCTCTGGCGGGGTCGGCGGCTTCCTCTCCGCCGTCCTAAACAACCCGATTGACGTGGTGCGCTCCCGAGACAGCTCGGATACACCTCCTAGACGCCTCCTTCCCGTCCCCGCTACGCGCCCATCACACGCACGCACGCACGCACGCACGCACGCACGCACGCACGCACGCACGCATACTCACCCATGCGCACCTTGCACTTCGAATGCAGCTGACCTCACCCTCCCCTCCCCTGACCATGTACCCCACCACCCTCCCCGCAGGTCAAGTCGCGCATCCAGTCGGGCAACGGCGGGGTGGGGATGCTCGGCGCGATGCGCGAAGTTGTGGCGGAGAGAGGGCTCTCTGCGCTCGGCGCGGGGCTGCAGGCGCGCGCGGCGCGCCTCTTTATGAGCCAGGCGATCCAGTTCTCGGTCGTCGAGAAGCTCCTCGCGCTTGGCCGCCCGAGCAGGGCCGTCGAGGAGAAGCCGAGAGTGCGGCTCGCAAAGGTCGCCACCAGCGCCGTGTCCTGAGGCGGCTGCGGGGGGATCAATCGTCGGCCCGAGAGCCGGGGGATCAAATCGGTGGACCGCCCTCATGATCATCGTCTGTGTTGTTGCCCGCCGGCGTCAATCAAGAGCCCACTCCCCTATCTATTGTGGGTCGATTGATTGCAGATTCGGCGGGTCTCTCGCTCGTGTCGCGTCGTGTGAGATTATAAGCTCACAGTTCTCTCGCGTGTATGACATAAGTGTGTGTGTGTCCTCTTTTTTAGCTCTGTTCGGTGAGGGGTTAGAGTGTTTAACTGAGCGGCTGACTCGAACGTTTTCCCTTCCACAGAGGCCCCTGTCAGCGGCCCTGTTCCTACAAGTGCACCTACGCTCGTGCGCGACGAGTCCCCCGACGACCGGGACGAGCGAGTGTGCGGGGACGAGCTCTGGGTGACGTCTGACTCTGAGATCTGCGGGGCCTGCCCGCTGCCGGTGCGCCGCCGTTTGCGCTACCGCTCCACACGTTTGACGCGCGGGTCGGTGTGTGAATAGAAACGTCGGCCATCACCTGCCCCGTGCCGCTGCTGCATCTGCCGAGAGGCGCACCACGTCTGACGGCGCTCCCTGTGGCTCTGCCGGCGGCCCTCCCTGTGGCTCTGCGTGGTTGGAGGCCACTATGGTGGCCACCGCTGCTGCGGCAGCCTGCAGTGTGTCGTCGCTGGCCTTTTCTGATATCTCAGCGAGGTGAGCTTGATGCCGCTCCTTGAGTCGAGCAGGGAACTTTGCGGCCAGGGCAGCCACCTTGATGTCGTTCGAGCGGTGCTCTGGCTGCTCCGTCAGTCGGTCCTTCTTTCGGACCTTTTCAAACTCTTTCCGCTCCCTCCTCTTCCCTCGCCGTTCTGTGACGGCACGGAACTGTGCGCTCAGAACCGCCTCAAACTGCTCGTGGTTGCGCAGGCTCGGCCGGAACGTGGTCCTTGGGCTCGCACTCAACGCCGACGGTGAAGACACCAACGCCTCCTCCTCCGCGACCACCTCCGCCTCATCCTTTTCTCTCTCTCCCTCGGTGACGAACGGGTACGTCGGCACTCGGACGAGATAGCTCTTGTCACGGGGGTCCTGGGGAGCGGACACGCACAGCTGAGCGATCATCTCGTGCGTTGGCATTGGCAGTGTGCAGGGGCGGGTTGGCATTGCATGGCCACAGAGACGGGAAGGGCAAAGCCGCTGGGAAGTCGCACCTTTGAGCAGCAGGTAACAACCTGATGCATGATGGACTCTGCTTGTGCGGCCAGGCGCTGCCATAGAGTAGGCGAAGGCTTCCACTTTTTGCGGGCCGCAGGCGATTCAGAGGGTGAGTTAAAGGTTGGAACACTGCCGGGGCTCTTCAACTGCGGCGACATCGGCGAAGACGCCGAAGCGTCCACGAACACCGAGCCGGCACTAATCGCCATGGATGCCCCTAAGCTCATCGTTCCTCGAGGAGCGGCGTGCCTCGCAGGGTAGCGGACCGTCGTCCGTCCCGCTCAATCTTCCCGAAAGTTGCATCGATGCGCTTGGGCCAGCATGCCAGCGAGGACGAACCGGTGGGCGCTGCCTCGCGTGCGGCCTGCGGCTCCAGCAGTCTGCGCACCAAACGTCTCCTCGGCCAGTGCAGGAGGCGTCGTTGCCGAGCTCAACCGCCGCTTCGCCGCTGGCGGCGCAACGAGCGACCTCGCCCGTGCCGGCGTTCTCGTCTCTGTATTCAACAGCTCGGCGTGGAGCGCGGGAGTCTACGAGGAGGAGGCGTGGCTACTTCCTCGCAGGGAACAGCTGGCCCACTGGTCGGCTTCTGTCCTCAATCCTGCCCACCGAGCACTGTGGAGCATTGTTGGTCACACCAAGCTCGGCCTTGTCCTCCACCCGAGGTACGCCCGGCTCGAGTGCGCCTTCCCGGCGGATGGGCGCGCCCTCCTGCACCTCAGCACCTGCGGCTGCATTTGCTGCTGCCCGTGCCTGCCGCGCAACGCTTCACCTTGCGCAGCACGTGGCGGTCTGCTCGGGGAGGGCGGCGGCGGCCGATGCTCCCGCGCGGCCCGCCCGGGTGTTGAGCCGCGTCGAAAGCCGCCACCGCGACATCAGCAGCCCGCTGAAGGGGGTGTCCGCTGTCCGTCGACATCGCTTCAGTCCGCGCTGCAAGGTGGTCGGGTTGACCATCACAATGAGGTGATCCTAGACTTCCGCGCCTACGAGCAGCAGCTGCCCCACTCGGTGCAAGCGATCTTCTATGCACGCGTGGGTGGGGAGAGCAGCCCTCAGCAGCTGGTAGACAAGCTCGCCGCGATCAGAGCGGTACACCGCCACTTCCTTCGAGCTCACAACGCAACGGCAAACGAGATTCCTCTCGTCGAGATCGACCCAACGCTGACGCGGCGCAGAGGCTGCTTTGCGTGGCTCGACGCGATCTCGTAGATGGGAACACGCGCTCCAGCGTTCAGCGAACAAATAGAGGTTCTTATGCGTGTACCTCAATCCTGAACCGTGTTTGTTGTGACCCCCCCCTCAATGAACAGCAACGATTTTCCTTTATCGCCTTTGGCAATGCCAGCGCAAACTTCGTGACGGGCGGAGGCCCAGCACCGGCTTCAGGAGCCTGCCACATGAGCCTCGCTGCGCTTCTCGCGATCGGCGTGGTGGCAGATGTGAACCTCCAGTGCTCCGCGCCGCCAGTCAACAAGGAAGTGGGGCAGTGGGATCCAAAAACAAAAACGATCATCGGCAAGGGCAGCTTCTTGGATTGGGTCGAGCCCATCGAGGGCAAGTTCGAAGGATCAGTGATACATTCCAAGACTGACCTCATCTGCATAGACAGCACTTGCCGCTCCGTGTACGAGGCTTCCTGGAGCAGCAACTACGAGAGCCTCACTGAACAGCTATTTACCTTCAAGATCCCGGCGGGCTCCTACTCTGGCGACATGATGAAGTGCTTCTGCGACAACCCTGATCCCAGCATTCAAGTGACCAAGACCGGCCGTTTCAGCCTGTACGGGATGGACGGCGATCCCTCAGGTATCAAGGCCGCGTGCGCTTCTCCGGACTGCGTGAAGGTGATGAACTCGGTAATCATGAACTCGGGCGAGGTCATCGCGAGCCTGTGTGCTGCGGTCGGGTGTGACCTCGACAAACCACCAGAGACGCGCGACAAGTTGATCGAGCTGCAGACGCAGTGCAAGTGTGACCTTGCCGTCACAGGCTACAACTATTTCTACGGTCGCGACTGCACGCTGGACCAAACGTGTGACAAGTGGTGCGCGCAAAAGTCCTGCGAAGACTACCTCGACGGGCTAATTGAGGCTGGTGCCAAGGGCCTCGTTTCGTGCACAGACCTGCTAGTGCCGCCACCGCCCCCAGCTCTTGCGCCGCCGCCGCCAACGCTTGCCCCGCCGCCACCAAAGTTTGGATTTGGCCCCCCGGTGTGGCCCCCAACGAACTGGGGGGCCATCTGCGCTGTTTGGAGCTGGGGGATGATCTTTGGTCTTGCCGGGGGCTTCTCTTACGTCACGTGGCGCTACTTTGACCAGGACAAGAAGAGAGTGGCAGCATTGCCCTGGCCGAGCGACTCGAGACTCGGCGTCCCCTTCCTCATCGCCTCGGACACCGGCGACATTTGTCTTGATCCCAAAACAAGCACTGTCCCGAGCAAGTGCGCCGTTTACTGTCCGTCGTGACGCAAGCGCGTCGCCGACATGGCGTTGGACGGTTTTGAGAGAGAGAATTTTGAAGACCAACAAGAAATCACGACTCTCACAGTGATTTGGGCTCGGCAGCTTGTTGTTACTTCTTCGGGGTTTATGTGGGATAAGGATGATAGGCAGGCTGCAGATCCAGCGGCCGGCTCAGGGCCATAAACAAATAAATAAAAGGGACCCAAACGAGGGGTGGGAGAAGGACAGGTCCCCCCACCTGCGCACGAGCAGGATCTTGTAGAGTAAGGACGATCAGGGTACAGGGACACCGGGGAACGCGAACGGGAGCGAGGAGCCACCGCTGGCGAGGTACTTCCAGCCTGCTGTGGGAACAGCTCTACGCTGCTCGCCAAGGCTCGCCCCAGATGCTCGGGTTGACTCGGCCAGACAAAAACCCCGAGGCGTGGGACTACCTCGCCGGGGCAATGTGCTGCAGCGATTTCTTGGTGTGCTCCACGCTGGACAGCGCTAGATATGGCAGCCGAGAGCTCTGCTCTTGTGGCAAAGCGGCAGCGCACCGACGCCAGCGGAGCCCTCGTCCCCGCGGCGGGCACCGCGGCTGCCGGCGGCACGCTCGTCGCCGGGCCGCAGCGCACCTCCGACCTGCTCGCGCCGATCCTGCTGCTGGCCGGCCACGGCGCGGCGGTGCACACGGTGAAGTTCAGCCCGGGGGGCGAGCTGCTGCTGTCGGGCTCGCACGACAAGACGCTGCTGCTGTGGGAGACCTTTGGCGAGTGCAAGAACGTGCTCACGCTCAAGGGCCACGCAAATGCGGTCGTGGAGGCGTGCCTCGCCCGTCGCCATCCCTCGCCACGCTAGCCCGCCGCCCCCCGATCCCGCCGCTGCTGCCGCCCCACCGCCAGCAAGCCTACCTCCGTCGCCGCCCTCGCCGCCGCCTCCTGTCCTCATCGCCGCCCCGCCGCCACATCCGCCTCTGTCTCCACCACCGCCACCCGGCGACCGGCCTTGCCATCGCCGCCGCCGCCCCCCCTTCAACCCCCCCCTCCCCTCCCCCTCTCACCACTCCTCCGCCGCCCCCGGCGACCCGCGCAGCCCAGCGCTGTATGCAACCCTCGCCCGCCCAACCTCGCCGCCCTCGCCGCCGCCGCCGCCGCCGCTGCCTGCCACCGCCGCCGCCACCGCCGCCGCCCCACGCCCCACGCCCCGTTCGTCCCGCCGCCGCAGGTCCACTGGCTGGGGGCGGAGAACGCGGTCTCCGCGTCGGCCGACAAGCTCGTCGCGTTGTGGGATGTGAAGACGGGAGGCCGCATCCGCATGTACAAGGGGCACACCTCGTTTGTCAACTCGTGCGCAATATAGAGCCCCCTTCCTCCCCTCGCCCTCCTCCTCCCCCCGCACCCCTCTCCTCCCCC